CAAAATAACAGATAAAGGCTTTTTATTCATTAATTTAGAGATAAATCAAATATTTGGTGGTAGTTTCAGATTGTGAAATGAATTCCGAAATGTGACTTAGGGCTCTTTTTGGCACGTCTTCAACAGCAGCAGTAATTTCCCATCTCAAACGACGTTCTTGATGAGCTCTTTTGTACAGAAATCACCTTTTCTCATTGATATAAATTAGGTAAATACAAGATAAAGAATTAACTTGGACGACTAAAGTTCTGATTTTTGAACAGCATGAAAGAAACAGCTAATGCTGCTCTAATTTTGTTTTGTTTCTGCTCTTTTCTATGATTTAACTCTCTCTGTTTCTCATATTTTTTGGAAATTCCATACTACTAGAAAGGCTAAGGCTTCTATTTCGAATTATTTTTTGGCATCAAATACACTGACACAAAATATTTTTATGGTATTGTATTTTTCAGGTGCTCACTTAAATGATATCTAAGACAGTCAGAATATATTAGATATTGAATGTAGGAAGTGCGTAGGCACATTTTGGTTCTGCTTTGTTTTTATTACAAAGCTCTTCTGATTTGCAATTTTTTTATTTTGTTGAAGAACCCCCTCTTTTTCTTATATTTTTCAATTTTTTTCAATATACGCACACCATAGATGTTTCAAAATTTTTTCGCTGCAATATTTAAATGAAAAGATGACAGCAAATTTTAAAAGAAGAAGTCTAAGTGTAGAAGCGATCAAATTATTAAGAAAGCTATTACACAGCAGTGAAATATCGATCACAGAAAGACAATTTCACAAAAGAATTTTGACTTTTCTCATTCATTCTAAAACGTGTTTTGTGCAGAAATAAGTTGGCTGCTTACAGTAAGGCTGCTAGTTGAAATATGACATTTTATTCAAAAAAGATTTTTGACGCAAAATAACAAAGAAATTGTAACTGTATAATAAAAATCTGTTTTTTAAAAATTTGTTTGATAAAGTTTTACAGAGATCATGCTATAGAAGTTGTACTTTTGCAGTAGCTGCTGCTGAAAACTGCAAATTTTTCTAAGAGAATAAGAGGAAATGTGGTTAAGATTAAAAAATCTATATAACACTCTACTAGTTTCCAATGCCAAAACTTCTAATTTTTTCTAAAATTTTTCAATTGCTTCATTGCTTTTTATTTCTTATTCTGCTAAACAATACTAAAAAACTGTAGAAGGTATTCTAAATAAATACCGTTTGCTCTGCACAGAACGCTTGCAGAAATGTGATTTCTATAGGTCCTTATTGCGGCTTGTCTAAGAAAATTTTTGTACTAAATTTGGCCATTGTTAGACAATTGCTTAAATTATCAAATGCGGTTAAGTGTAATGAAAAAAATATCTTGTATCGTCACCGCTAGTTTTTTTCGTGCTCTATACGTTTGAAAATGTGAACGAAACAAAATGATAACAGTTTATTAAGAACATTTTTTGCTGGGCAGAATTGGACATAAATTTCATTTATACAAGAAATTAGACAGAAAACGAATAATGTTTAGAAAGTTTTCTTCAATTATACTTCTTAGTTGTGCTTTATTTCGCATAAACAACAACAGAAAAGCATACTTTTTGACAAAATAAGTTTAAAAGATCTTGTAAAAAATTTTTTTATATGCTCTGTTTACCCGTATTATAAACAGTATAGCACTGAAAATAATAAAGCTCAGAGATATTGGAAAGTCTAATTTTTCCACAAAATTAACTGACATTTGTAAGCTGCTTCAAAAAAACTTTTTCAACTGATTGTTAACAGTTTGTCATTGTAACAAAAACTTTGATTAGGTAGAACTTTTGGTAAATTCTTCAGTTTATTCTTCTTTTTTTAGAACAATTTGTCATTTTGTGCTATGACTAGTCGAATATGGCAAATTGAACTAAAAAAAATTTATATTTTTTAACCTTGCCTGTTTCTCGTTCAAGAAAAAAAACTGGTGAACACTTTAATACTTTACGTGTTTAAAATTTCAAAAGTAGTTTAAAGAATTTTCTGCTTTAGTCATTTATGCGTCATTTGAATTTATCAGAATATCAGTAATCAGCGCTTTCATTTTTTTCTAGTAATTCAGATAAAAGTAATTTCATAAATTACCCCAAAAGTTTTACCTAACCGGCTAAAAACTGTTTTAGTCTAGTGTTTTATAAAAATTATTGCTTAGGTCATTGCTTACTGCTTTCTAACAATAGTATTATTTCAACGAGGTCGCTCTCTCCATACTTCTCTTCTTAACCTTCAAAAAAAAGTTGGGATGGTCTAACAATGCCGGAAAAAAAAGCTTTAAACTGTCGTGTTGCCCATTTTCTAAAATAAACTGTATTTTGCACAAATACCTATTAAATATAAATAGAAAAATTAAAAAAATAAACAGGGTCATGCATAATGTATAATAATGAGATCACTGTATGTCAGCTGTCTCAAAACCGTGTAGAAGAACGAGTTTGAGTAGACAGTGCTGTTTTTGACAGTTTAGCATTATTGTTCCGAATACTGGAACTCGTTCCGTCGCTTCCTGACATACATCTTGAACTTCCTTCATCACTGTCACCATAGAATTTATCGAAAAGTCCAAAAAAATGTAATCCTCCTTTTCGTATCTAAAAATTTAGTTGTACTTAAGCTGTTATTACTTGTAAAAAAGATAAGACAGCAAAAAAAAACACTTAGACTCAACAACAACACGTTTAACGAGTTCGTCAAATAGGTTTTTTCTGAAGCAGTTTTTGTGGGTCAGCAGGATCAAAAATAGATAGTTGAAATTACGTGGTTTTTATCAGTCAAAAAAATTCAAAATTTCTTCAACGACAAACCTGATCATCGACGATAAATGCAAGAATAGCATCAACAGTAATACGTAAAATCGTCATTCCTCTGAAAAATTTTGAATTTAATTCTTTTATATCTATTTCTTCACGTGTTGAGATTATGGTTGAAACTTAACAAAGATTAGTATTCTTCAAACCGCACCCACATGTTCAAAACAGATTTTCTGAATATCTTTAAACTAACAAAGCGACCTAAAGAAAAGCGAAGTTGAAAAGAAAACAAAAAGCAGCGGTTTCTTGATTATGTTTAGTTACAGAAAATCAAAAAAAAACACAGAAAACTTACTTTACAAGATAAACAATAGTGAGCATTTGAGGTAAGTGTCTTAGAAAATAGCATCCTTCCTGATCAATCATGAACACCGAAAATGCAACTTGAAGAAAATTAAATATAGCAAATGTGGCAACGTTAACTGAAAGTTTCCAGAACGGGAAACGTGTCGGAGCTCGGTGAACTGCATGATCTCGTTTTATCGTTGACTGCTTTGCCGATTTCTCAGACTGTGTTGTCGCTATACTGTACACAGTTGTACCATCTTCAGTATTCGTTTTCATATCCTTGGTGGAACAACCATCTGTTATCACCGGCGCAATTCGTGCTTTTAATGATGATAAAAATCCTTGACTGGCTTTTTTGCTACTTTCTCGCTTGATTATTTTTCTTTTGTAAGAACTTCGATAAGCTTCTGAGCGATGAACGAAGAAAACTGTAAAAGTGCTAAGTTTTAGTAGTTGTTGTTCGTCGTTGGTTGCTTCTGAGCAGAAACTTTTTACACTGAAGAATTAATTAGATGTAGCGTCTAATAACATTTTTGGTCATCTTAAATGATACAAATCTGAAAAGTAAATAAAATCTGCTCAGGTTTTAAAATTTAATTTTAACAAAAACAAGAACTATATTCTAAAGATTTTGGTTCTATTATACAATATATGGTCATAATTTTCTGTTGCTTCGCAACTTATGAAGAAAATGTATTTTTTAAGTTTTTCAGGGCTTTAGAACTAATACTTAATCTGAAAAGTTTCTTGTTTATACTAAAGTGAATTAGACATTAATTTAGTTTTTACCTTTGATCATGCATAACTGTAACTTTATTAAAACCAACATATTTTAACGCTAAATCTGTTGCTATTAATAGTTAATAACAAAGAAGGTTTGCTAAACAACATGTGAAAAAAAAAAAGAATCTAAAAAAATGACTTTAAAAAACCAGAATTATCTAAAGAAGAAGAGATAATAAGTTTTTTACCGTCTACGTTTTTTCTTTATTTCGTTTTTTTAAATAAAAAGTTTTTATTTTCAACAAAGAAATGACAATCTAAGATAACTTTCAAAAAATTATTGCATGACAAGTAAAACTGTATTACCTATGTATACACTCACTATGACATACTTATTTAAAAATAGAGCAAAAAAATACACATTTATTTTTTTTAGTGATTTTACCGCAGTTTTATCAAAGCAAACTTGCTAAGCTTTAAAGTTTTGCTTGTTCTAAGTATTTCTAACTGTCCAGAAACAGTTTTTTTTATTTTTAACTGTTAGAAGCATTGAAAACAGTTTTTTTTTGCAGAAATTTAATATAACCAAAAATTTTTTTAAGACCTAGCAAAGCTGCTGTTTTGTCGTTTGTTATCTTTCAATCTCAACAGCACCTTGTCGATTTCGGGTGATGCAGTGCGTGAAAAAAATTGCACGTGAAAAACGTGTTTTGCAAAATCATAAAATTCAGTGTTATCAGCTGAATAAAATACAACTTTTTTTTTTGTTGTTAATTCTAGTTACGCTGTTACCGAATTACAACAACAACAATCAGTAAGTTAGTGAAGAAAAAATTTTTTATTTAGTCAATTTTTTCTTCCGCAGACTACTGATAGAAGTTATGGTACAGTTCGTTCAAATGATTATTTTTCTTCTCTTTACTCTTTCAAAATAAAAATAAAAGTTTTTTTTT